TCTGCCTCCTCATCTTCTTCTGTATAGTTATGTTCTATAAGACTCATGCTTAAAAGAAGCCCAGTTAACATGGTAAGTTGGGAATGTAAACTTGTGCAGCCACTATGGAAATCAGTATGGAGATTGCTCAAAAAACAAAAACTGGACCTAACTTATGGCCCAGCTATACCACTTGGGTATATACCCGAAGGACTCTAAGTCAACATACCACAGAGATACTTGCACATCTATGTTTATTGCTGCACTGGTCACAATAGCCAGGAAATGGAATTGTACAGAAGAAGATAAAGAAAATGTGCTACATATACACAATGGAATTTTATGCACCATAAAGATAAATGAAATCATAACAATCTGTAGGAAAATAGATGGAACTAGAAACCATTATGTTAAACAAAATAAGCCAGACTCAGAAAGACAAACACTGTGTTTTCTTATATATAGAACCTAGATTGAAAATTGTGTGTAGATGCATGCATGCATTTATACAGGTGTATGTGGAAGTCATAAAACTAGAGAGGGATCATGAGAAGGAAGGAAGAGCTGGGGCGGGTAATGGAATGCATGAGAAGAAAGCAGAAGTTGAGACTGAGGGAAGGAAAGGAACCAGCCGGAGGGGGGAAGGGAACAAACGAGAACAAAGCATACTGACACCTATGTATGAAAATGCCAGAATGAAATACATTGCTTTGTATGACAACCTAAAAAATTAATTAAAACAGAAAAAAGTTAAATGTTTAGAACAGTATTTATTACAAAGTACCATGTTTGTTATCATATAATTTAGAAAATTATAAAATCCCATTTAAAATATCTCTATTAAAAGGAAAAGACTGAAAGAACATATATTAAAGGCTTCCACAGTATTTGCCTCTGGTGGTTGTACTGCACATTATTTTTAATTTCTTTAACATCTCCATACTTTCCAAAAAGTCTACAGTGAATGCTGTAATGCATAACTGGTAACTAGGAGGGAAATGCTGGAGGAGTACAGGAACAAAAAGGCAGCGGGAGGACCAGCAGGTCTCTGTCTTTCTGGGGGCCATTCCCTAAGCCACTCCCTAAGCCACTGGGAAGAAGCCAGGCCTCTGGCAGCCAGGACTTGAACCCTATTCAGACACTTTAACAGGCACCTCAACACACTAAGGCTGGGGTGACAAATGCTTGCTCCACCTCTTCTGCAGTCCTATGAACTGACCAAGACCCCCATACCCTGCACCCCAGTCACCGAGCCTGAAATTCTATTCAGTGAGTCATGAGAAGTTGCTGGAAACATCATTGCCTATTGCTGCTGTGAGCTCCACTCTGGGGACACCATCTGCCCTACCCCATTCTCTCTGCCTCTGTCATCAGAGGTGGTGCTGATGAGACACTAAGAAGGAGAGCCCTTATGACCTTATCCACTCATACCAGGCAGCTCTCACTTGGTTGAGACAAGGGGAATTCCCCAGCTGGCCCCTGGAGTGTGGAAACCTCCCAGAAGTGAGCTATGGTCATGAGCCTGAAGAGAAGCAGATGATGAATGATGGGCAATGCTGGGGAAATCTCAGCCAACCCTCAACCCACAGAGCTGGGAATAGAACTTGGGGGACTCAGAATGGGGAAGGAAACAGTAGGAAGTAACCTTGGGAGTAGGGCTGAGCATCACTAGCCCTCTTTGCTGGAGAAGGGCTGGTCAGTGAGGGAAGGTACTTACTGCTCCTGATGAGTGCTTTCCCCAGATGAAGCAATTCAACACAAAGCAGATGCCAAAAACCACACCAGGATACAGTGTTGCTGTCTGGGAGCAAGAGGGACAGGTTGGGAGCTGCATCCAGGGAGATCCTATCTGGTCCCTGTGAGGCTCCCAGGCCAGAGGCTTCAATCCTTTTAGTTCTTCAGAACTCAGCTCAAGCATAGTTCCTTCTCTGACCCCAGATAAGGCAGGCAGTCTGCTCTATTCCTTCATAGAGCTCTGAAACAGTGTCTTCCTTGCTCTCATCCCACTTTATCAATACAGATGGTCCCCAACTTGCAAAGATTTAGGATTTTCTGAATTAGCGGTGAATGACAGCAAGAAGCATTCAATAGGTACCACACTATTTTTGGTGTATTACATGCACTTTCAACTTAGGACACTATTGACTGAGATGTAACCAAGATGTAAGCCAAGGAGCATCAGATCCCAGTCTGCCTCTCTAACATACTCCCCATCTCGTCCACTGTGGTACTCCCATCACTTACAACCCAGTGCTACTCAGTAAGTATTCGATGCATAAAAGAATGAATAAAACTATTACAAAATAAGCCGAGCATGGTGGCGCACGCCTTTAATCCCAGCACTTGGGAGGCAGAGGCGGGCGAATCTTTTTGAGTTCAAGGCCAGCCTGGTCTACATAGTGAGTTCAGGTCAGCTGGGACTACAGGGAGACCCTCTCTCAAAAAAAGACAAAAAACAAAAAACAAACAAAAAAAAACAACCCCCCCCAAAAAACCTATTACAAAATATTTATGTCTAGGCTAGGCCCCAACTCCAACCCACCTACAATAATGATTCAGTTTTAAAGACATCTTTTTCAAAATTTTATTGATTATTTTTATTTTACATATGAGTGTATTGCTTGCATGTTTTAAGTGTACCCATGTCGTGCAATACCATTAGAGGTCAGAAGAAGACATCAAACTCCCCTGGAACTAGAGTTATGTAATGTATGGTTGTTAGCCACCATGTGGGTGCTGGGAATCAAACTTGGGTCCTCTACAAGAGCAACCAGTGCTCTTAAATGCTGAGTCATCGCTCCAGTTCCTTAATGACATCTTAGGATCCAAAATGGTGGGCCTCACTCACATCATCTCACCTAATCCCCACTACAGGTTTAGAAGAGAAAGACTAACAATATGCCTTGTTAAAAGATGAGGGCATTGGGGCTGGAGAGATGGCTCAGTGGTTAAGAGCACTGGCTGCTCTTGCAGAGGACTCGGGTTTGATTCCCAGCACCCAGCTAACAGTTCCAGGGGAATCAGATGCCCTCTTCTGACCTCCAAGGGCATTGCATGACACGGGTGCATTTAAATACATGCAGAAATACACTCATATACATAAAATGAAAATAATAATTTTTTAAAAAGATGAAAGCATTAAGGCCCAGCAATGTTCAATACTGTCCCCCCATCCAAACCAACTCTAGAGTTTAACCAATAGACTAAGGGTGAAGCAAAGGTTGAGATCTAGACAGCCTGACTCCAGAGCCCACATTCTTGACCTCCTCTAATATATTCTAGTCAGTGTCTTAGGTTTCTGAAGTCCCAGACTTACACTTGGGCATCATTCTTTCAGACTGGGGTCACCACACCATAGACTGCTGTGACCATGTAGGCATCCAGGGAGGTGACTGAACACAATGACCAAGGCCCTCAGGATATTTTGAGCAATCTAGCTCTCCACTTCTGTGCTAATTTCATCATTGTTCATTGCTGCTTCCACTCAACAGCTGGTCAACACTCCTGAGGTTCCTGTCCCTAGACCTTCACGTAGGTCATCAACACCCTTGTGATATCCACTTCAAGTGCTAATGCTACACCAAGAGGCTTATGTGCACAGTCTATTCATACAACCAATGCTGAGAAATAGTTGCAACTATCCCCATTGGAGAGATGGGAAACAGAGGCTCAGAGAGCTGTTCATGAGAACCTGAGGCCTCTGCTGGTTGCTTCCCTCCACTTGAAACCCTCCTCAAGGCCCAGTTCAAATGTCACTCTCTCCTCTCCTTTTTGTTTCTTTTCACTCTGTCGTGTAACAAGGAATTCTTCATCTGCCTTCCTGGCTGAAACTTATGGTCTGGATATCAAGTCTGATGTGAGGCACACAGAGAGGAAGAAAGCTACTGGGAGAAATCTCCCTCCCTTATTTCTATGATCTTTTCTACTTCCAAGATGTCTCTTCACTCTTAAGAATGATGTGTTGGCTTCCAATCACATGGGCTTGGCCTCTTCTTTCCTGGCAAGCAATTCTCTCTAGCCTGTTGGGCAGGGTATTCTGTGATGCTGCAGATCACTATGAATCCCCTATTTTTCTCCTGCTTGAGCTACTGGACAATGTAGGCTAAAAATGACCTAAGTTCAACCCCTTTATCATTTTACAGATGGGGCACCTAAGCCTCTGAGAGAGCCTGAAGCAAGCCTGTGAGTACCCAGAACTACTGACCCTTGGGTCCAAGCTCCACTTGCTCCACTAGGCTGTCACTCAGCCTCTCACCTGAAAATCCCCACTGGGGCCTGCCTATGCTCCTGAGGAATCCAGGAAGGAGATTCTCAGGCCCCACTAAAGCTGGAAGGACAGGGAAGATACTTACACAGAAGGCTCCTTTCTTCCACCGATGGCCTTTTAGAGTACGGTACAGACGGCCAGCAGAAAATCCACCAAATACCCTGTGGGAAAGGGCAGAGTCCACAATGAGGGGGCCTGTTAATGGTGTGAAGGAGGCTTATACCAGCCCCCAGGAACATGCTCACATACACCTACCCCATGAACATGAAGAGGAAGCAGGCAGTGGTCATGAGGGCTCCACGGCTGGATGGCGACAACATTCCAAGCATTGCCACAACTATGGAGGGAGGTAGAGGACAGGGTCAGGGTGTCTGTCAGGCTTGAAGCTCCTGGTGGGCAGAAGGACCCTGGGTACATGGGGCTAGAAGACACTCCCTTCTCCCTTGGCCTTCTTAACAGCATAGTCTCTTCCACAGGAAAAGCTTGGGTCATAGCTGGGGTTTGGAGTGGAGCAGTTACTAAGCCTTTGTTGGCTAAACCTTTATTTTTTAGATTTATTTTTATTTTCAATTATGTGTATGCATGTGTTTGTGTGACTATATGCCATGTGTGTGCAGGTGGCCATGAAAGCTAAAAGAGGGCACTGGAACCCTGGGCCTGGAGTTACAGGCACTTGTAAGCTGCCCAAAGTAGGTGTTGAACTCAGGTCCTCTAGAAGGCCAACAAGTGCTCTTAACCACTGAGCCATCTCTCCAGCCCCTGAATCTATTTTTCTTTGAGGTAGGGTTTCATTATATATCCCTGCCTGGCCTGGAACTCACTATATAGAATGGGCTGGTCTTGAACTCACAGAGATTTACCTGCCTCTGCCTCCCAAATACTGGGATTAAGGCATGAGCCACTGTGCCTGGCCTGGCTGGCTGACTCTTAATTGTAGCTTCTAGTCCCCAGAGCCCTTGCAATGAGCCAGGCCCTGAGTTAAAAACATTCTGAATGTCTGCAAGCTGAATGTATATTGACTCTGCAAGATGAAAGTTAACCTCTTCACTTCTCAGACTAGGAACCTGAAGTCCACCAAAGTTAGTTGGCTGTCTTAGAGTCATAAAACTTGGAGGCATGAGGCTGGGACTGACTCCAGAGCTGTCTATAACTATTATACAATAGTGTTTTTTCTTTGCGACTGACAAAAAGTTCTGTTGGATGTAGTAGTACAGACCTACAATCTTAGCACTCAGGAGGCTATGGTAAAAAGATTGTACACTAGGGCTAGAGTGATGGCTCAGCATTTGAGAGCATCAGCTGCTCTTGCAGAGGACCTGGTTTTGGTTCCCAGCACCTACATGGTGGTTGCTGACAGTCATCCATAATTCCAGTTCCAAGGTTTCTGATACCCTTTTCTGCCCTCCACTGGTATTATACAACATGGGTATGGGATACATGCAGGCAAAATACTCATACACATAAAATAAAATAAAAACAACAACAAAAAAATTGCACTGCATGTTTAGGTCAACCTGGGCTTTATATAAGACTGTCTTGAAGGAAAAAACAGAACAAAAGGGGAAAAGATCTGAATCCAGTCATGACCCTGGCTGTGACTCTGGGTGAGTCACTTGACCTGAGTACAAAAGAAGGCTAGCCAGAAGGGCAGATAGGGGGGTCCTGACAACACAGTGGACAGTGGCAGGGATGACAGAGTCTAGAGGCTCTAGTGGGAGAGGAAGGCTGTCTATCCGACGAGTTTATATTAATACTCAGATGCCAAGGAACTCAGAAAGTGACTGTGACCAGTAATAGTCATATATAGAGAGATTAGAAATGCATGTGAAAACGTCTCAATGTCAATTGCCTTAAAATGAATTTTTCTGTATGAAACTGTGTATTTTAACAACTAAATGGAGATCTTTTTTAAATGTCAAAAACTCATTTAATTTTATGTCTTATAAAGTTTATAATGAGAATTTTGAAAGAGATGTACCCTAGCTCAGAAAAATGTTATTGAATAGGTTAATGCTGTTGTAATGAAATGCTTCTTCTAATAAACAAAAAAACAACAACAACAAAAAAACAACAAAAAAAGAAGGCTAGCTTCACAGTGCTGATGTGTACTTCCTTGATGGAGTCATCATGGTGGGCTCTGTGAAGACACCCACCACTGGGGCTGTTGCTAGGATAGGCAGCTGTCTGCCCAGAATGCTTAGCCTGTTATACCTTTTCCTTAAGGCACACAGAGAGGTGAGGTGGCCATGCCTCAGGGTCAGGCCATGTTCCTGTGGCCCCCATACCCAGCCCACATGGCCCACTCACAGATGACGATGAGGATCATGCAGAAGAGCTGAATGCCTGAGCCCAACAGAGAGCTGAGGATCATGGGGTACTGGGGTGGCCTGAAGACATCACCATGCACAAGCTTCCACCCAGATTCCTCCATAGTGTCTTCCTGTAGCAAAGGGCACAGAGCAAGGCAGGTATGTGACGATGGGGCAGCTCCTAGAGCAAACACCCTACAGACCCAGGCTGCTGACCCAGCTGAGTCTCTCAGCGGTCAACCAGTACTGTCCTGCCATAGGAGACAAGTGATATGAGATACTGCTTCTCAGAGAAATGCCACATAGGGAAGGGAAGTCATGAACATGATGCTTGAAGCTGCAGAAAAAGAAATTTCCCTGATTTCACAAAACTAGAGCATGGAAAAATAATGTAAACACCAGTGTACTAAAATGTCTACAGTCCGTGGGTGGCAAGATTCAGAAGTAATTTATTTTCTGATTATAAATGAAATATGCATTTACTTGTGCTTAAAAAAAAAAGTAAAAACAATTTGGTATATGCCATGAAATTCAAGTGAATTAAAAAAGCAATAAATGCTTAGTAGTCAAAGAAATTAAAAATACAGAAAAGGCAGAGTGTGGCAGTGCATTTAGGAGAGGCAGAAGGATTGAGAGTTTAAGGCCAAGGCCAGCCTGGGCAATATGGCAAGAATCTATCTCTACACAGACACACAGACACACAGACACACACAGAAACACACACAGAAAAACACACAGAAAAACACACAATACACACACACACACACACACACACCCTTACATGGCAGAAAAATCTAAAGAATAAAATGGCCTATACTTAACTAATGTTTATACAGTAACAACAAATGATACCATTGTTTCCTTTAGTCTTTTATGTATGTTTATACACATATGTATATGTTTTAAATAATAAAATAGGGGGTTATACTGTGTACTTTGTTATTTTCTTTTTTCTTTTAAAAAAAAAAAAACATTTTCTTATTCTTTTTATATTTTGTGTGTAAGTGTATTGCCTGCATGTATGTAAGTGCACCTGTGTTGTGCAGTGCCCACTGAGGTTAGACAAGGGTGTTGGATTCCCTGGAACTGGAGTTACAGATGGTTGTTGGCCGCCATGTGGGTGCTGGGATTTGATCCCAGGTCCTCTGCAAGAGCAGCCAGTGTTCTTAACTGCTGAGCCATCTCTCCAGCCCCTGTACTTTGTTACTTTCAAATGATGTATGATATGAACATTTCCTCATGTCAATAAGAACTCTGAAATTATACTTCAAAGCTGCAAGAAGTATTTCTAGACCAAGTTATAATTCTGATTCTTTTCTCAGAAAAATTTTAGAATTACCATGTCAAAGCAAGTTGCCTATCTTACAGTCCTGATAGGCTGTCGATTCCTTTCCAGAAAACTGCCAATTGACCCTTAAATGGTTGAATGGGAAGGCACCTGTCTCATGTTAATTTGGTAGCAATTACTATTTAAGAAATTTGTTTGCGTGTGTGTGCGCGCGCACGTGCGTGCACGCGTGTCTGTGTGTGTGTCTGTCTTGTGCATGTGCAGCCCAAGTACTTGTGGGCCTGTATGTGAAGGTCAGAGGCCAATGTATGGGGTCTTCTTCAATGGCTCTCCACCTTACTGTTTGAGACAAGGCTGGCCCTGGGCTCACTGACTGGTGAGCCTCAAGGATCCATCTTTCTCTGCTCCCTTAGCACTGAGAGTACAAATGCATGCTGCCATGCCTGGCTTTTAAATGGATATTAGGGAGCCAAACTCAGGTCTTCATGTTTGTGTGGCAGGGCAAGAACTTGTACCAACTGAGTCATCTCCCCAGCCTCACAATTAATATTGTTAAAAAAAAGAATGTGGCGGTGCACATCTTTAATCCCAGCACTGGGAGACAAAGGTAGGCAGATCTCTGTGAGTTTGAGACTAGCCTGGTCTACATAGTGAGTTTCAGGACAGCTGGGGCTACAGGGAGATGCTTTCTCAAAAAGACCAAAAAAAAAAAAAAAAAGATCCAACTCTTTGCTAGTTTTCTGTCTTTATTTGTATTTTTGGGGCCTATTCTTGAGGTACAAATTATTATTTTATTTATTTTTTTTGTAAATTAATTTTTTTCCCTCTTTTTGGTCTTACCACATAGCCCTAGAATTCATAATATAATAGGAATTATAATAGGAATTTACCATACGACCGTAAACTCACAGAGATCCACTTGCCTGTGCCTCCTAAGGGATTACAAGCATGAGCCACCATGCCTGGCTGGCCTTAATATTTCTGATACAGGGTCTTGCTATGAAGCCCAGGCACCTTGAATTAGAGATCCTCTTGCCTAAGCCTACTGAGTGTTAGATCATAGATGTACCCAGTTCTAGTTTTAAGCTAAAAAATTTTTTAAATATATAAATATGTAAGGTTTTTTCTTTTGGTCTTTTTGACACAGGGTCTCCTTGTAGCCCCAGCTGTCCTGGATTCACTATGGAGACCAGGCTGGCCTCGAACTCACAGAGATCCGCCTGCCTCTGCCTCCCGAGTGCTGGGATTAAAGGCATGCACTACCACACCTGATGTTAAATTTATATATTTTTTATCCCACTGTATGTGTATGTATGTGGGCACATGTGTACCATGGCACAAGTGTGGAGGTCAGAGGACAACTTGTGTGAGTCAGCTCTCTCCTACCATGTAGGTCTCGGGTATAAACTTGGGCTATCATGCTTGGTAGCAAGCACTCTTAACTGCTGAGCCATCTTATCAGCTCTAGCTTAACATTTTTTAATGAAAAATTAGTAAGTTTTCTTTCTGTAGCTTCTCCCATTGCTTTTAAATTAGGAACTCCAAACTCATCACTTTGGGTGATTAGGAGACTTTTTCTTTTCAGTGTTTTTGAGGCTTACTTTTATTAATAATCACACACACACACACACACACACACACACACACACACACACACAAAAGGGGGAGAGAAAGGGGGAGAGGGCCTTGGCAGGTCTGGAGCCCTGCTGTTAGCCTGTCCTCCCTCTTCCAGTCCATCCCATCCCAGCCAAGACCTCGTACAATGTCATCCTCCTTGTTGTAGTTAGCGATGTCCTTCCGGAGGGTCCGAATAATAATCATGCTCAGGATGCCTGAAACAGACAGGGCGGGGGGTAGTGTGAGCACGGCTAACAGACATGTCTATGCTCCATGTCCTCTTCCAACAGGGCCTGGCCAAGAGGCCACCTAAGGTCCTTCCCTGGGCAAAGCTCCACTCTGGCTAACCAGGGAGAGGTGCTCAGAAAGCAACAGCTGCTGGGATGAGTAGAGATGGGCAACAGGAACCTGCTTTTTGTGTCAGAGAGGAAAGTACCACACCATTTCCTTTACTGGGAATGTCCCACTTGAATGAGTGACTCTATCATGGCACCTTAACCTCTCTGGGCCCCTGAATAGTTCAGAGACACCACCATCACTCTATCTCATTTGCCTTTCTAGGCAGAAGTTTGGTGGTTAAGAAATGGGCCTCATGACCTTGAGCTCACATTATGCTTTTAGGCTTAGCTCATGGAGCGGAAGGTCTTCTGTTTTGTAAAGTGCCTGGGACAACAGCCAGCTCCTGGGTAAGGAGTGAATAAATAGGAGTCCATACTACCTTTATGATCATCCTTATTCTACCTCTGCCTACCCCTCTCCCGCACCCAGCTTCCCACCAAGCTCATTTCACAGCAGGGCCACGCCACTGTTAGAACAGTGCTTCCTTGGGTCTCTGAATTATGGCTCTTCACTCTGGTTCAGAGAGGCCCCCCTTCTTCAGCTGTTCTGGGTATGATGACTGTCTGTTTCCTAGCATTCATCACCATCTGGAATGCCACATCTCATGTGTTGTTTATTTTACAGACTTTGGACACAGAGGACAGAGCCTGGGTTGCCTTCAATACCCAATCCCTGGCACCTGGCACAGATGGAGCAATGGCAAAATGGTTGTTGAATGAATCAGTGACTGGCATGGACAGCGGACCTGTTCTTCTCTAGCAAGCTCTCCAGAGTAGAGACTGATTCTTGCTCATTTCTATGTATGTGATGGCTAGCACAGAGCCCTGATTACTGTTTCTAACCCACACTTGGCCCTAAAAACACTTTAACCCCTACCCCAAGTGATGTGCTGCCTCAGCCTCTCAACTCACCCTGTCCTCTCCACCTTCAATTCTCAGAGCTCTCACCTGACAAGAAGAAGACCACCACGACAGAGTTAATGATGGAAAACCAGTGGATCTGTACATCACTCATGGTCAGGTAAGTGTCCCAGCGAGAGGCCCATTTGATGTCACTTTCCTAGCAGGCAGGAAGAAACAGTCAGGCCTCCTGTGGGAGAGAGAATCCCAGCCCAGAGCAAACCCTTTCTCCCCTGCCCAGAGCAGGTATTCCTTCTCACCTCCCAGTGCACAGAGTAGGTGAAGTATAGTTGATTCTCCTTAGTAGGGTCAATTTCTTGGGGTGAGGAGTTGGTACCCTCAGGTAGCGTGCACGAATTCTTCTCATCTGTTTTGAGGTCTGTGAGAGACAGAGATTCAATCTGTTCTCACAGTGACCAGTGCCACTCCCCAAGGGCAGTTCTACAGGTGTCCTCAAGGCTGCCCTTCCTTCAGGGTCTGAGTGGAGGTTGGAAACACAATAGGCAACTGTGGCTTCTACAGTTATGCTCCCTGGAGCCCTCACCTTCCAAAAGGCCTTCAGTGGTACAGAGGCATACACATGGGGGGAGGAAAGAAGGGTCTGAGTGGAAGTCCCTCTCTTTTACAAGCAGGCAACCTACACTCAACCCAAACACTCACTGACTCATTCACCATTCAATCAGTCCCATTCAATATGCACAGCAATGGCTCCTTTCATTACATTTGCTCATTCCTCAGTCATCTTCATTACTTCAGGAACGCAACCACTCAGATGCCATCTCCTTTCATTCTTTCATTTGTTCACTATGCCATTCAAGGACTGGTGTGGTAGTACATGCCTGTTCCAGAAGCAGACCCAGGGATGGAGTCATTGCTAGATTGCTTGCCTAGCATGTATGAGGCCCTAGGTTTGACCCCTAGTGTGAGTGTGGTATACACACACACAAACACACACACACACACACACACACACACACACAAAGCAAAGGAAGAAAAAGAAAAGTCAGAGGCAGGAGGATCTGTGATTTCAAGGCCAGTTTAGGCTACAAGCTAACTCCCTGTCTCAAGAAGAAAACAAAACAACACAACAAAGCCAAGTGTGCTGCTTAACTGAAGTGTACTCTGAGGTGATGGGGTTCTTAGGGAAGTTGTGAAGCTGAACCAATCCTATGAGGCTGTCAAGACTGGGCTGGACTCTTAAACTCCTGCACTACTGTTGATCTGGGCAACTTTAGTCTTCCCATTCACACAGAGGGAGACACAGAAGTAACCTATTGCCCAATAACTTTGCCTGTACCTTTGCCCTCCCATCTTCTTGTTTTGGGGGCAGGGGTAGGGAACCAGGATCTCACGATGTAACCTTGGCTGGCCTAGGACTCACTACGTAAGCCAGGCTGGACTCCAAATCAGAGAGGCCACCTGGGTGTTGGCATTAAGGGTGTGTGCCACCAAGCCCAGTCGCCCTTGTTCTTCGACCAAGCTGCTTGACTCTTGCGAAGAGGCTCAACAAAGCTTCAACCTGCTATTTGGTCTCAGCCAAGTTATTGATGTCTCTGAGCCTCTGGCTCCTCATCTGTAATCGCCTTCTACCTCCTGGACTGCTGGGAGGTGGTATGCCCATATGGTGCCCAGACCTCAAAATGTAGGTATCAATTCTCCCTTACTCCCCATCTACTCTATGGGGGTACAGTAGCCTTCTCTGGATGAACCTACTACCATACCTAGCTAGGCCTATTAGCCAGGTGAAGCGTGAAAATGTGAGAAGACCCTGGATGTGGAAGCCTGGGCCCATCCAGCCCTACCCCTCTGGTCACACCTCCCCACTCACCCTCCAGCCTGATGCTCTGGGGAATCACCTCGAAGCGGACGACACGGTATGTATGTTCCTGGTCCTCTTCCATGTCCTCCCGGTGGAAGTAAAGGATGAAGGAGAGGTGATTGTGCAGATAGATCTGAGGCAGAGCAACAGAGAGAATAAAAAACAGCTAGGAGCCTCAAACCCCGAAAGTTTCCCAGGGAGATGACCCCAAGCACTAGATCCTTCCTCTAGCCAGTATGCTGGCTGCATCAACCTTCCAGAACACTGCTAGGTCAGATCACACCTGCTCATATACCCTCCAGAGCTTCCGGGGGCTTATCAGATAAAAGTCAAGTTTCCTCAGCCTGTCACCATCTTTTATTTCTTCTTTTTTTTTTTCAGTTTTTTAAAGGTTTTTTTAAAATTTAAGTGTTTTGCCTACATGCATGTAAGTGCACCCATGTGTATAATGCCCACAGAGCCAGAAGAGGGTCTTGGATCTCTTGGAACAGGAGTTAAGGCAGTTGTTAGCAGCCATGTGGGTGCTGGAAACTGAACCTGGGTTCAGTTCTTAACCACTCTTAACTGTTGAGCCATCTCTCCAGCCCCAGTTTTTGTTGTTGTTGTTTTTGTCTTTTTGAGACAGCGTCTTCCTGTAGCCTCAGCAGGCCTGGAACTCATTATGTAGACCTGGTTGGCCTTGATCTCACAGAGATCTTCCTGTCTCTGTCTCCCAACAGCTCCAGTTAGTTAAGTTTTAAATCAGCATACAAAGTAAGAGGTTCATTATGGCATTTTCACACATGCTTTGCTCTTGTCTTCCTCCCACACTGCCCTACCAATTGTCACCATATTCTAAGACATGTTAGTTCACCTGGCCCCTCCTGGTGCCACAAGCAGTCTCTATCCTGCATGTCTGTTCCCAGCATCAGTGCAACTAGGTCACCATCCCTCCTCTACTGGAGTCACGCCCACCTCTTTTCTAAGGTCCCTCCCCTTCTTCCTCCTGCTCCCTCCACCCCCCATCTTTTCCAGGATACCCTGAATGCACAACAGCTCCCTGGCTAGTGGAAGGCAATCAGGAGTCAAGACCCAGGGCCTCACATTGCCAATTCTCAAAATTAGGACAGAAGTCTTCTGAGATCAGGGACTGTGCCTCAAAGGAACATCTGTCTTTAGATGTTCACTGTGTTCACTTTTTGGAAAAAAAATTTCTCTTAAGTTCAAGGCCAACCTGATCTACAGAGTGAGTTCCAGGCTAACTAGGGCTACACAGTAAGACCCTGTCTCAATAAACAAAATAGTAACAACAAAATCCAGAACCTAACATTTTAGTGACTATACCTTTATCTCCTTGTAGTGTGTACCAGAGCCTGGTCCAAAGCTACAGGCCACCTACCCAGAGGCACTGGCTGAAATGTGCACTGGTTGATTCCCTCCTTTTTTTAAATTTATTTTTTATTTATTTTATTTTATTTTTATTTTTTGGTCTTTTTGAGGCAGGGTCTCCCTGTAGCCCCAGCTGGCCTGGATTCACTATGGAGACCAGGCTGGCCTTGAACTCACAGAGATTCGCCTGCCTCTGCCTCCTGAGTGCTGGGATTAAAGGTGTGCACCACCACGCCCAGCCAATTCCCTTTTATTTCTTAAAAAAAAAAACAAAAAAACAAAAAAACAAAACAACGTTTTATTTGTGTGTGTGTGTGCGTGCATGCACATGTAGAGGTCAGAGGACAGCTTGTGGTAGGTTGGTTCTTTCCTTCCAGGATGTGGGTCCTGGGGATTGAACTCAAGGCATCAGGCTTAGCAGCAAGCATCTCTACCCTCTGAACCCTCTCATTGGCTTGCTGATGTCCATTTTTTTCTATGCTGTAAATCTAGAGCTGAATGTTTCCCCAAGTACTTGCAACTTATGAGATGCACAGACCCAGCCCTCATAGCATGCCAAAGACACTCTACCTTATTGACATCTGTGAAGCCAAGCCGGTAGCCATGTTCAAACTGTACATCTTTTTCTTTCTTCTTGTCATCACTGTCACGGTTGTTGGAGTAGAGTTCCAGTCGGGTGGCCACAGGCAAGTTGTCAGCTATGCTAGAAACCCAAGGCCCCACTTTAGTCTCTGTGAACCATGCTCCCGTAAGTCCCTCCCTTGTATGACTTTGAGGCTGGCAGGGAGCAGTGGATAACTTACAGGTGAACATAGTAGTCCTCTGTGATGCGTTCGGCCACCAGCCGGCTCTCCTCCACTGTCAGGGTCACTGGCTTGCTGGACTGGCTGCACAGAACTTCACACTTCTTCTCACTGTTCATGAGAACCTGGAAAGGGGTGTTGACAATCCGGTCCCCTCTCAGCACCTCTCCTGCCATAAGAGAGACAGACAGAGCTCAGAGCTTCAGCCCTGAGGTAGCTGAGGTCAGCAGGGTCACTGAGATGCAGACAGCAGGGCAAAATGGAGTTCCAAGGATGTCAGCAGTGCCACAGCCTGGCAGTCAGGCTCTGCGCCATCTGCTTATGTCCAGCTTGCCCCTAACTGCCCCACTACCCTTTCCTACTCTGTTCTAATGCCAGTTAATGTGCCACATCCTCCCTTGCCTCTAGAGCTTCGGGTGGCTTACTGTGCTGAGTGCCATTCCTGCCCCATGCTTCTGGCTTCAAGCTTGGCTGCCCTTTCCCTCTCTCTGTGTAACTTTCCTGACCCTGTCACTCCCTCTCACTCCCCCTCTGCACAGAGGCAGCACTGTACAGTGAAGAGGGTGCTCTGACTGAAGGCTGCCTGCTACTGCACCCTATCTCTGCCATTTATTAGTGTAGGAGTCCTGGTCACAACTTCACTGAGCCTCAGTTTCTTCATTCATAAAATGAGATAGCAGTTGTACTCTCCTTGGAGTGACACTGAGAAATAAAGGGGTTAATCCACTCCCAGGACAGAGCAGGCAAGCAACAAATAACACTATTTTCATTAGCAACAACACTTCTGCATCCAGGCTGGCCTCCCATCCACTATCCTCCTGCTTCTCTGCACCTTAAACATATCAGTGATAGTACACTGCACAGTGTGTTGATATGCTTATGCTTCTGGCTCCCATACTGACTGAGAGCTCTTTGAGCCAAAACTTATTACTTAATGTACTGGCAAACTCTTGCCTGTTGCCCCCAGGTAACTTGATACCAGACGTCACACTCACAGGCACTGAGCAACTGGGGAGACTCAACTGAACTCAAACGTACTTACATTCTGAGCTGCTCAACAGTGATATGAAACTGGGGCAGGCTGAACCATGCCAGCAGGAAGGACTACCACCTCCACATGCACTTGGTCCACATTTGCCAACCAGAGTGGATCTGCTTGATACGGCTCCAACTGCCTTATCATCTAGACATTTACTCATTTATTCACCAATATGTACCGGGAGCTGGCTATGTGCCAAACCCTGAAGATACAATGCTGAAACAGACATATTCCTGGAAATACGGTCTAGTGTAAAAACAGACCGATTAAATAATTAGCAAGATGAGAATATACTGTGTAACCTGCTGTAGGCATGGAGGGAGTAGGCTCCTGACTATTGAAGTGACTCTAAAAGGAGGAACAGTAGTAACTAGCCAAAGGGATGGAGAAGAGCTACAACAGAAGGAAAAGTATGGGCAAACACCGCTCGGGACTAATGAATTTGGGAGGCCTGTTTGGCAGCAAAGCACAGAGCTTGTAATTGCTTAGGTGAGTTGGAGAGACAGGTTAAGAGATTAAGAGATGGGTTGGGGCTGGTCAAGGAGGGCCACACACAGTATCTTTTTTTAAAAAAATTTTATTATTTTATGTGTATGCATGTATTGCCTGCACGTAGGTAAGTGCACCCATGTCATACAATGCCCGCAGAGGACAAAAGAGACTGTCGGATCCCCTGGGACTGGAGTTACGGACAGTTGTTAGCTGCCATGTAGGTGCTGGGATTTGAACCCAGGTCTTCTGCAAGAACAACCAGTGTTCTTAACTGCTGAGCCATCTCTCCAGCGCCCCTGCCTCCCCCAGTATATTTATCCAGAAAGCAAAGAAGTCCATGAGAGGTTTCAACAGGGATGCAGAAGACATTACCTGACTGTGGGTACAGAAAGATCACTGCCTGCTTTGTGCAGAAAACAGGATGTGAGAAGCTGGCTGGAGTGACGGCACTAGTCATGGAGAGAGACAACGAGAGTGTGTGGGGAGACACAGATTCCGGAGCTATGAAGGTGGTAAAACCTGGGGGACTAGCTACTAACTAGATACTAGGGATGAGGAAGGAGTGGTGTATGCTGGGAAGACTCTCAGGTTTGCATGACTGAGTTCTAGGTGGACAAAAAGGAAAAAAGAGCAAAATCAGATGGAAGGCAATTTTCAGTTTTGATGTCACACAGGCAGCTAGGTTTTAAAATTTAAGACTCAGAGGAAAGGTTGAGGCAAAAGGAGGCTGAATAGTCAGTAGGTAGGTGAAGTGGCAGAACCATGAGCTCTACAGTAGTAGAGACAGCACAAAGCAGCCCTGGTACGTGATGCCTTGAGAATGGAAGAGGCCATTCAGGAAAGGAAAAGGAAGAGGGTGAAGAGGCCTGGATGAAGGCCTCTCCCCCTCTAGTTGATACCGGAAGCATGGTGGTATGTGTGACCCTGCAAAGCCTAGGATCAGTGGTGAGTGGAGAGTGAGGATGTTTGACAGCCCACTGCTGAAATGGCATTTTATAGATCACAAGCTAAAGACCAGACAGACAATAGCTTGCCATGATTATCCAGGTGCGCACCTGTGTGCATATGTGTGTATCAGTCCTAGGCTCTTTCCTTACACCATGTCTTACAGCCCACTCCTTTGCAGATCAACAAGGAGCTGGCCTGAGGACAGGAGGAACTGCAGAGAGGACAGGCTGCAGATCAAGTAAGGTGGTATCACTTCTTGACATCTAAAAATTAAATCAAACCAAGAAAGAGGACACACTGGTCTAGTATGACTCATCTCTGATATAGAAGTATTCCTCTTTTAGAGACAGGGTCTCACTATGTTCCCAGGTTGGCCTGGCCTTCAGAGTAGGCCTGTGTTATCTCTTTTTTGTTTTTTTGGTCTTTTTGAGACAGGGTTTCCTGTAGCCTGGAACTTGCTGGCCTGGAACTTGCTATGTAGACCAGGCTGGCCTTGAACTCACAGAGATCTGCCTGCCTCTACCTCCCGAGTGCTGGGACTACAGGCGTGGGCCACCGTGCCAGGCTGTGTCGTCTCTTTTTAACAAGGAGTCCTAAGCCATGATGTGACTCTCTGAGAGCACTTGCTGCTGTATTCCAGCACAGCTGCCACAGCACTCCTAAGCATATACCATGTTAAGAATCATCATTAGCATGACAGTCCACACACAGCTCTCAAGCCTTTCTGGAGAAAGCAGAGAAGACAGCACAGAGAGCTATGGCAGTCATCAAAAGGCCTAAGTTAAAAATCTCAGTTTCTCTACCTACTGGCCACATGAACCCTGGCAAACTCCTGGAGCTGCTGTTTCCTCCCGACTGGCAGAGTTCTGGTAAGAGCCAAGCAAGATGGTGTACTCAGTGGTACTTAAAGATATGGATTCTGGAGTCAGAGCTCTTGGGGTTCTTTGTGACCAGGAGCAAGTGACTTCATCATCTTGTGTTTTATTTCCCTTATCTAGAGTAAAGAGATAGAGAATTTACTTTAGAGGGAAGAGTGTCTGATTCACACACAAATAGCATTTAGGGGAGATAGTACTGCTTATTTTTTTGTAAAACTGGCTTCAAGGCCTTCCTTGAGCTGGTCTAGGACTCTCACCTGGCAGTAGGCATACCTGTCAGCTAGGGAATATAGAAACATCTGGATCATTTGCACCCTGACAGAGAAGGTGGCTCTTTCAGGGACTGGATCAAGAACTAGGTCTCACATTTTCGTCAGTGATGTAGTCATTGGTAAGTTGCCCACGTTCCTGAAAGTTACCCCAGTTAAACGCATTGATAAAGGTGCTTGCCTCCAAGCCCGAATTTCATCTTTAGAACCTACATGACTGAAGGAGAGAACCCACTCCCTCAAGTTGTCCTCTGATGGCTACACACAGTTTGTAGCACATGGACACACATACACATAGAATAAATAAGTAAATTTTTTTTTTAAAAAAAGAAAAGACATGAAAGCAGAAGGGAGACTAGTTGGGAAAAGGATCAGAGGAGGGAACAAGACAAAAAAAGATTTAATGGGGATGAACATAACAAACACATTATATACACGCATGAGAATGTCATAATGAAATCCATCAAGTATCATTAATATATGCTAATAAAAAACTTACAAGACTTAATTCTCAAAGGCTGGGGTGTAGCTCAATGTACAGCATTTGCCGTAATAGCATACCCAAGGGCCTGGGTTTGATCCCCAATGCCTACCCCCTTCCCTCCAAAGAATCAAGATCTTCCTGGTGGCACACCATGGCTCAGCAGTTAAGAACTCTTGCTTTATAGTCGGGAGGACTTGAGCTCAGATCCCAGCATTCAGAAGCCTGAAGCAGAAGGAGCACAGGTTCAAGACAGCCTGGGTCTTCCAGACCAGCTTGGAAGGGTTAGGATTAAAAACCAAGAAGAGAGCTGGGCATGGTGGCGAATCCCAGCACTCGGAAGGGCAGAGGCAGGTGGATCTCTATGAGTTCAAGGCCAGCCTGGTCTACATAATGAGTTCCAGGTCAGCTGGGTCTACAGGGAAAACAAAACAAAACAAAATAAAAAATCCAAAAAGAGGGCCAGAGAGATGACTCTGTAGGTAATAGTGCTTGTCACACAATCATGAGAACTGGAGTTCAGACCTAGCACTCACATAACAAGCCAGGCATCCTACAAAATGCCTGTTAACTCCAGCTCTAAGAAAAACAACACTCTTTCCTGGTCTGTGTGTATGCATGGGCATACACACACACACACACACACACACACACACACACACACACGCATGCACGCACGCACAATAAATAAATAAATAAACAAATAAATAAATAAATTAGATCTTCAAACAACAACAAAACCCAAAAAGAAGCAGTTGCCTCTCTCTTAAGACACAAGTCAAGAGGAAAATCTGCTGTGACCCTTGAGGCCAGAGAGCGTCTGCTGCATTCTTCTCTAGGACTTAATGCAGAGACAGGCAGAAAGGAAATAATTACAGAGGTGTCTTGAACAGGCATCTCTGAATGTCTTTTCCTTTAAGCCCCAAATTCTGCCCAGTGGAGGATATTTAAACTAGAATAAACGGCCATTATTTATGGAGCACTTGTGCCAGATACTGCACAGAACATTCACACATTTTTTAAAGGTGAGTCTTGCACAGCTTAGGAAGTATACCAATGTCTTCGCTTGCTTCAGGGCAGAGGTCATCACTCAAAGGCAGAGCATCTAGTTGGGGAGATGGCTCCGTGGGTCAAGTTTTTGCCATGCAAGCATGAAGACTGGCTTTTAGCTCCCTAGCACCCATGGAGATGTGGCTGTGTACGGCAGCCACCTGCATCCCAGCACTGGGGAGACAGACAGGGGTCTCTTGAGCCAACCTGGCTAGGCAGACTAGCCAAATCAAGCTTTAGGTTCAAGTGAGAGGCCCCGTCTCAATATACAAGATAGAAAGCAAAGGAGAAAAACATCTGACACCAGCCTGTGACCTCTACGGACAAGCATTCACACACAGAGCAGAGTGAGTAAGAGAAGCCACTAGAAAAGAGGTATCTAGATACTGAGAGAAATGGTTTGAGCAGAAGCCAAATGCTGTAAACGCTGAGGAATGCCAAGGCCCAGGTTAGCCATTACCAGACAGCACAACCAAAGGCAAGTCACTTAATCTGCAAAATGGAATAAAAGTGCAACTACTGGGCTGGAGAGATGGCTCAGAGGTTAAGAACACTGGTTGTTCTTGCAGAAGACCCAGGTTCGAATCCCAGCACCCACATGGCAGCTAACAACTGTCCATAACTCCAGTTCCAGGGGATCCGACAGCCTCTTCTGTCCTCTGTGGGCATTGTACTACACGGGTGCACTTACCTACATGCAGGCAATACACGCATACACATAAAATAAAAATAAAGCCGGGTGTGGTGGTGCATGCTTTTAATCCCAGCACTCAGGAGGCAGAGGCAGGCAGAGCTCTGTGAGTTCAAGGCCAGCCTGGTCTACATGGTGAGTTCCAGGACAGCTGGGGCTACAGGGAGACCCTGTCTCAAAAAGACCAAAAAAATAAAATAAAAAAAATAAAACAAAACAAAACTGCAACTACCTCCCTAGGGCCACTATGATTAAATAAAGTAACAGGCATATAAGCTAAGTACAACAGTGTCTGGCTTTTTAAGAATACTAGATAAGGGCAAAGACTACCATTATTGTGGAAAATCATGCTGGGTTTCCCTGCATGACTGGCTGAAGCAGTGCAAGAAAGAACTTACCAAGATTCTCAGCCTTGTAGGTTATTTTGCTGGGCTGGCAGAAGGGCAGCGAGTAGTATTCGTAAGGTAGCTGGGTTCGAGAGCTGGTAAGCTTCACAGCCTGGGGGAAGAAGAGAAGCTGTTATTCCTCAGTCTAGCAGAAACCAAGAAGGCTGTTCCATGGCACTCACATATCTTTAACATCCTCAACACACTTGCTGCAGCAGAACTATTACAGTACTTCCCACAATTCTGGAGTATTTCACTTTAGACAACACTATAGATTTAGTTAAAAATCAGTAAGATTCAATAGTCACTGGCACTCAGACATGTGGCTACCCTTGGACAGGATCATTTCACTCTGAGTACCCTTCTTTAAGAAATACTCCAAATGAGGAATGAAAGACCTTCAGGCTTTGGGCACAAAGAGGCTTCTTACCTACAAGCACAGTAGCCTTCTCTACGGCTTCTTTTCCTGTCTTGGGCTTTCACCCTGGGCTCCTCTAGGCTCTGTGTTCATCTGATGCTTTTTCTACCTATGTCCCCCTAAACATCCCCACCTGTAAGCCCTTCCCTAACCATCACAGCCAAAGGAACTCTCTATCATTCAGCTTTAACCCTTTCAGCTTCCTTCTTAGCACATCAGATAAGACGTAACTGTGATGTGTGTGTACAGAAAAATAAAATTAAAATGAAAAAATAGTTATTTTGTGTACTGGGCTTTGATTTCTTTTCCTTCCTTCCTTCCTTCCTTCCTTCCTTCCTTCCTTCCTTCCTTCCTTCCTTCCTTCCCTCCCTCTTTCTCCCTCTCTCTTTTTCTTTTTTCTTTAAGACAGTGTCTTCTAAGTATCTCAGGCTGGTCATGAATTCATGAACCTTCTGGTCCTATCTCTTTAGTGCAGGAATTACCAGTGTAAGCCACATACTTTGGCCTTTCTTTCCTAGGTCTTTAAAAATCAGTCTTTCCCATTAAAGGCTAACATTTAATCTTCATGAGGGCAAGGCCTGCGTGTATCTTGGTCACCTCTGCAACTTCTGTGCCTTAGAGCACAGCAAGGTAGGTGCTCATTCAATGTCTGCTGAGAGAAAAGGAAAAACACAAAAACAAACCCCTACAATGGGAAATTGATCAACCATGATATATTTACTCAAATACTGTATAGCCATTAACAAGGTTTAAGAAGATGGTGGAGAATATTTAGAAATAATACAAACATACAGAATATAGTTTTGGAAGGGCGGCAGGCACAGAAAGCTCCCCAAACTAGAGTTAGACATGGTAGCTCACACCTGTAATCCTAGCACTTAGATGGCTGAGGCAGGATTGAGAACTCAAAGCCAGCCTAAGCTACTTAGAAAGAACAAGAAAGAAAAGAGGGAGTGAAGACTGGAAAGGAAAGGATAAAGAGAAAAGGAATGGGAAAGGCAAAGGAAAAAAGGGAGAATGAGAGGAAGGAACAAAGTCCGACAGTCTGAAGATACAGCTTAGTTGGCAGAGAACTTACCTAGCAGGTGCAAAGCCCTAAGTTTGATCCCTAGCACCATGGGCATGGTGGCACATACCTGTTGTGCTGGTACTTGGGAGGTGACGGTAGGAGGTTCAGAAGCTCAATGTTACTTTTGGCTGTAAGCCAGGCACAGTGGTGCTAGGGATCAAACCCAGGGCTTAATGGGTTACAGAGTTTGTTGCCAAGCCTGACGATTTCAACCCCATGGACCAACAGGTGGAAAGAGAGAACTGACTCCTTCAGCTTTTCCTCTGACCTCTAAAAGTTTGCTGTGGCTCGTAGACACCCACACACATATAAATAAATACAATGTAAAAAAACCAAAACTAAATAAAACCACAAAATTTAAGTATAACTAGAGTTACTTTACTGTTTAGGAACTGCTATTCCTCATATGCCATCTCAAAGTATAAATGATTTTTGGAATTCTGTAACAGGTATATTAACCCTTACCCAAAACCCTTACTTCGGAATTAGGAATTTGGTGATTTTAGATAGGTAGTATGGTATATACATCATGCTTATATCACACCTCCAGCTGGGTCTGGACCAGGACCTCATATTCCATGACCTTTTGCAGAGAAATGCAAAAATACAGATACCAAGTGGGACACAGGATGTGACTAAATAGCATCATGTCAGTTTGAAGTCAGCTCTTGACTCCAGGGGCCTTAGGAAGCCTTGGGTTTTAAAGTTTTTAGGATGCCAGATTGAAGACTAAGAATCTGTACCATGCCATATAAACTGGGTGTGGTGGCGCATGCCAGTAATTTCAAAATCTCAGCACTTGGGAAGAGGATGAAGGATGAGAAGTTCAAGGCTACCCTCAGCTACATAATGAATTTGAGGCCAGTCTAGGCTACATGAGACCCTGTCTTAAAATCAGACCAAATCAAACAAAACAAAGAAAAAAACGAGTTATAAGTTACTTAAGGAAAAATGCCCCCCAAAGTTACTGTTGTTAACTCTTTTGTATTTTTTTAAAAATATATTTATGTGTATGCGTGTATTGCCTGCATGTAGGTAAGTGCACCTGTGTCCCGCGGAGGACAGAAGAGGCTGTCGGATCCCCTGGAACTGGAGTTACAGACAGTTCTTAGCTGCCATGTGGGTGCTGGGATTCAAACCCAGGTCTTCTGCAAGAACAACCAGCATTCTTAACTGCTGGGCCATCTCTCCAGCCCCTTTTGTATTTTTTAGCATTTTCTCCAGACAATCTGTTGGGGAGGCGGGGAGGTTATACAAAGAGGTGAGTCCTACCTTTATGCTCCCTTTCTAGTTCAGGTTACCCCCCACCCCCACTCCGGGTTTGGCAGGACTAGAGATCAGATACCTCTGGTCCCCCTATGCCACACACTTTGCTCTGGAGGGCTGGCCATGGGCAAAGGCCAAAAGTGAGAGAAAGAACATTGCGGTGGGAGAGTTGGGGCTCGGCAGTAACTGTGGCTTCCTCACCATGGGACCAGCTGGCTCACTTCTCTATGCCTTACTTTCCTTAACCTGTTAAACACAGAGAAAATCTATAAAACATAGCATTTCCCTCAAGAAATGTTCTTGGGGCTCCTTGAGCCAAGCACAGGCTAATGTATGGCACGTTAATAAACTTTAGTAAATGTTACTTTAACATTTTTCCTGCAGGGTGTAAGTCTGATTGCTGAGGAGAGCTGCTCACAACAGACACATTGTGAGCAGATGCTATATGTTATTCACAGAAAGCTTGTACCTGAAAGGAGGATGGGGCAGATGAAAGAAGGAGGCAGAGAAGCCATAGGAAGGGACAAGCGGAGTCACACAGATGGAGAGAGAGACCAGGTGGGGACAGACAAGTCATGGCAAAAGTGAGTGAGGAGAGAGCCATGTGCACAGGGAGAAATGAAGGCTGGTGTGCAGGCAGCCATGCAGCGTGGGGTAAGCTCCCTTTCCCAGAGGGCTGGTGCCTGTCTGTGTTCTCTACAAGTCCAGGATGGTCACAAACAACTCAGCACAGTCCTCTGGTAAGGTTCCCAACACAGATGTTTCCACAATCCAGAAACACACTCACCTTGATTTCTACGGGGTCGTTCTGGTGGAAGTTGATTGGTGCAACCCCAGGGACATAGAAGGTACTTGTTTGACACGTGAGACAGAGAAGTAGCAGGAACCTTGGCCACCAAACCTGCTGGGAGAGACTGCAGTTGGAATAGGGGAGAGAAGTGAACTTTCCTCCAGGCAGGTCAAGTGGTAACTTAGCATGTAGGTGCATGGACCCAGTGTCACCTCTGTTCTGAAGCCCGAGGTCCTTGTAAGACTGCCTCTCAAATGCCCCCAAGAACGCTACAAGGCAAAAGATTTTGTCCTTCTAAAAATGAGTCACAGAATAGGTCAAGTAATTAATATCTGGGGGAAAAAGGAAGGCTCTTTCCCAGGAGTCAAACCTTCCTACTCTTGATTGCAGTTCTGTTAACCCATTTCATGGAATATAGCTCCACCACAGCTCAAAGAAATAAATCTCTACAGTTCCAACCATTCCCATATCACTTCCTGATTTACTTATTTATTTTGCAGTGTTGGGGATGGAACTCAGGGCCCTGAACATGCTAGGAAAGCACTCTATCATTGAACTCGAGCCCCTCAACCAATATATTGTACCATGAACCTAATCCAAAATGAACTGTCCTCATCATCTCCTCTCCTCACTCAGCCTGAGGGTGTTCTTAGTGTCCACTGACAACACCCCTTCTTCACCTCTACAGTTCCTTCAGCTGCAGTGCCCTTCCCTCAGATACCTGCATGGCTAACTCATTCCTTATTCATTTGAGATCTCTCACATGTTACCTGCTTAGAGAAGTCTTCACTGACCATGCTATCTAAAACAGCAAACTCAGGGCTCCTAGCACCCCTATCTCCAGTCCTTTACTCTACCTCATTTCTATGTGGGGACTTGTCAACTTGAAATGTTCAGTGTGGATAGACAGGTCTGCCTGCCTGTGGATGCCACTTCCTCCACATTTGATGTAGTATCTGAATGAGCAGGGGCTGCTGTTCACACCATGGACAGTGTCTGGCACAGGGCAGGCACTGAGTACATGCATCTTCACGCAGGATAGGTATCTGGCATCCAAGGCAAGCAAGACCAATTTTTTCTTTTTTTCTTGAGACAGTCTTCCTGTAACCACAGCTGGCTTCAATCTCACAGAAACCACCTGCCTCTGCCTCTCAGTGCTGGGCTTAAAGTCATGTGTCACCACACCTGGCAAGATTAACTTCAGATCTCAACAAGTCTACCCAACACATCCCTTCCTTCAATGGTAACAGCACTTTACCTACTCAAGGAACTGTAGCAGCAAGTTGAGTTTCCTTCCTCTGCCCCATTTGCCATCCACAAGGCAGATTCACCAATTCCCTATGCCTCTGTACCTGCCTCCACTCTTGATTGCAGTTCTCACACTGCTCTTTCAGGTACTTAGCCCCTCCTACCTGACACCAGCAGCAGGCCCCATCACCTTATCACTTAGCCCCTCCGCTGCCCCCACCCCAACAGGATTCTTTCTGAAAAAGTTTATTATTATTTTTTGCCTTTTTGAGACAGGATCTCCCTGTAGCCACAGCTGGCCTAGAAGTTACATCTAGACCAGGCTGGCCTTGATCTCACAGAGATCTTGCTGCCTCTGCCTCCCAAGTGCTGAGAATAAAGGCATATGCCACCACTCCCAGCTTTGAAAGTTTTACAGGCAGCCAATCACTGAAGAGGCTTGCATCTTTACCTAGACCACAGGTTGGGGGGGAAAAAAAAGGAACTTTAATTAAGATTTTAATTTCAATCTCAGCACTCAGGAAGCAGAGGCAGGCCAAGGCCAGCCTGGTCTACATAGTGAGTTCCAGGACAGCTGGGGCTACAAGGGAAACCCTGTCCTAAGCTGGAAAGATGGCTCAGTGATTAAGAACACTGGCTGTTCTTGCAGAAGACCCGGATTCGAATCCCAGCACCCACATGGCAGCTAGCAACTGTCCATAACTCCAGTTCCAGGGGATCCAACAGCCTCTTCTGTCCTCCGTGGGCACTGCACGACATGGGTGCACTTACCTACATGCAGGCAATACACGCATACACATAAAATAAAAATATTTTTTAAATTGCTGGGTGTGGTGGCACACGCAGGCAGATCTCTGTGAGTTGAGGCCAGCCAGGTCTATATAGCAAGTTCCAGGCCAGCTGGGGCTACAAGGAGCCCCTGTCTCAAAAAGACCAAAAAAAAAAAAAAAACACCCCCCCCCCCCCAATGATTTTGGTGTACCTTGTTTAAGACTGGTCAAGGTCCTTTTTTTCTTTCCTCTTAAGGATTTTTAAAAACCATGTGTGTGCTACATATGTAATGGTGCTTGTGGAGACCAGAAAAGGGCACTAGATCCCCTGGAACTGGAGTTATAGGCAGTTGTGAGCTTCCCAATGTGGGTGCTGGGAACCAAATTCAGGTTCTCTGAAAGAGCAGCAAGCTCTCAAACAATGAGCCAATCTCTCTAGCCCCTCTCTTAACCAATGACCTCCCTCTCTAGCACAGACTGCTTTTCTCCCGATTTGTTGTAAACGTTTATAAGAATCAGTCAGCTGATGTTCATTATAAAATGAAAGTTTGGCCTCAATAAAACTGTAATAATGGGGGTTCGGTGAGCTGGCTGAGAAGGTAAGGTGCTTGCTGCCATGCCTAAAGACTTGAGTTTGACACCATATGGCAGAAAGAAAGAAACAGTACCCGTTGAGTTGTCCTTTACCTCCACATGTGCATTGTAGTACAAACACTTGTGCATGCATGTACACATACATACATAAACAAATAAATGTAAAATTAAAACCTGCAACAATGTCCAAAGCTGATGTATCATATTGGATAATCAGGAGGAAGGCAGAATTAGGAAAGCAGGAATATCTTTTAATAAGATTAGAAGGTAGAAAATTACCCCATGGGGCAGAATTCTGCACAGGAAGAATCTCCCATCCTTTTTGTCTAAAAAGTTTTTTTAAGCCAGGCATGCTGGTGCACGCCTTTAATCCCAGCACTTGGGAGGCAGAGGCAGGTGGATCTCTGGGAGTTCAAGGCCAGCTGGTCTACATAGTGAGTTCCAGGACAGCTGGAGCTACAGGAAGCCCCTGTCTCAAACAGACTAAAAAAA